ATATATATATATATATATATATATATATATATATATATATATATATATATATATATATATATATATATATCAGGGTGTTAGCCAGGAAAAAATTTCATACAGCGTTTTTGCGAAAATGGGAATTTAGGAACGGCTAAAAAAAAAAAAAAAGAGAGTATACTTCCATTTTTTAGATATTAAACTTTAATCAAAATAAATGTTCTTTTTTTGCTGGGTGTTATAGTTATAGCAGGATTATTTTTCTACTTTATAAATGTTTAATTCTAATTATTTAGCTTCTTTCATTATGGGCAATCTTCTAAAGTTTTCATTTTTAAATCGTTTATCCTCTTTGTTTGATATACTGTAGCCGTTAATTAAAAGCGTCTTATGTAAAAAAAACGTAATTAAAAAAAAATTATTTGGAGAACCTCTTTGTAAAACGCTTTTTGAAACTAATAATTTTTATGAATTTTTTTATAACTCTTTAAAAATATGTATTCAAAAATGTTTGTAGACATCTAAACTAGCTTATTTGGTAAAAAAGTCAAAATGATTTTTTTTTACATAAGACGCTTTAAAAAATGGCTGCAGTAAAGTAGAGAGAAAACAAGAACTGAAGACAATAGTTTGCTGTTTTAATGAATGTATTAAATTTCATTGAAACTTTGATCTAGATTAATTGCGTACATCACAATTTTTAATACAGTTTTAAAAGGTTTAAACGATTAGTTCTGAAGAAATATATTTGACTATATAACTATTTAAATACTTTAGTATTTTAAAATACTTAAAAAACTTTTTTACAAATGTCATATTGTTCATCATATTTTATATTATAATTTTTATCATTAGATAAATTTAACAGTTTAAGAACTTATTTAAATCAATAGCTTTTAAATAAAAATTAAATGAAAGTTTTCGTAATCTTAATAACTTTTAATAGACGATATTCAAAATTTTTCAAATTCCGGAATAATAAGAAACTTGAGTCTTTCGTGCGTATTTTACACAAAAAAGTAGATATAGAATAAACAAAATAAACAAACAGCATAAGAAGTAACATTGGATTTTGTTTATATTAGATTAATTATTTGCTTAATATGGCTACATCACTTTCTTGTGTTGTCATTGGTTTTTCCAATCACTCAACCAAATTTAAAAAGTGGAAAAAAGCTATTTGTGAAATTCATAAATGTCCAAAAGAAGATCCTAATTGCTGCTGCTCTGAACCATTTAAACTTATTCCTTTTCCTACTGAAGAAAAAGACCTAGAGCGTCGATCCATTTGAAAAAAATTGATAAATCGGGTAAATTCAGACAAATCTCAACAAAAATCAAAATAGGAAGCTTCTAATTACAGTAGAATTTGTTCGGAACATTTTATTCATGAAAAATTTGAATATCCTAAAGAACTATTGGGATACAACGCATTAAATAAAATAATAATTTGTTCCTTCTGTTTGATCTAATTGTAATCGACCAATAAATAAATGAAATAACAACATAATTTCTGATTCATTTTCAATAAAAATAGCCACTATATCTGCCTCTACTTGTAAAAATGCATATGTGATTACAGCAGTTAATAAAATAAATGCTAAAATGTTTAAAAAAAAACAGTTTAAAGAACTCTACTTTTAAAACTGAAATCCAAACAAACATTAGCGAAAAATCTTTGGTAATGCATAATAAAGTTTTTCCTGTTTTTTCTTCAAAAATATTGACAGACGACCTTGTTACTTTAGCATAAAAAAGTTTGTATCAAATACTGAAAAAAATATTTAATTCAATTATAATTAAATTCAATTATTTTGACTCAAACGGTCTTTTTAATTTTAACACTCTATGCTTTAATTATCAACTGTTATTTAGAAATTATGAAGTTAAAAGCTGAAAATATTAAACTTCAAAACAAAATTATAATGCAACCAACTAAGCCTATATCTGTATATAAGAAACTTCTATCAAACAGTAATGTAAAGTTCAATACAAATCTTGGTTCTTTAGAGTTATTTAATAAATTGCATGACTTTATTAGCCCTTATGTTAAAAAACAATTTAATTCTGTTTCTGTTAAAAGAACTGTCAGTGGAACACTAAAAAAAGTAGGACGTGCAAGAAAATTATGTTCACAAGATGAGTTTCTGCTGACTTTAATGAAACTTTGATTAGGATCATTTAACAAAGATCTTGCTAGTCGTTTTTTTTAATATTTCTATTAGCACATGTTTCAATATTTTTAATTCTTGGATAAGAACATTAGCAGAAGTTTGTAAGCACCTAATATTTGTACCAGACCTTGGCACATTAAATGCAACAAACCCTTTATGATTTAAAAAGTATAAAAATTTGGCAGCTATTATTGACTGTTCAGAAATTTTCATACAAACCCCAAAAATTTGGAATTGTAAAGTGTCACTTAGTCTGAATATAAACACCACAATACTTTAAAGTTTTTAATAGGTGTTGCTCCTAATTCTTTTATTGTTTATATCAGAAGGTTATACCAGTCGCATATCCGACAAAGCGTTAATTATGGATTGTGGATTTCTTGATTTATTATCTCCTTTTTCTATAGTTATGGCAGACAAAGGGTTTAATTTGCATGATGAATGCACTTCTCAACATTTATTTTTTACTGTACCACCTGGTCAGTGAGGAACATCACAAATGACACTTTTTGAAGTTAAGAAAACATTATAATATGTATGTATGTGTGTGTGTAAAAGAAAAATGTCGGATAACAAATTAAAAAAATTATTCAAACTTAGATGAGTAAAATATATTTGTTAGTTAAACTTAAACAAATTTAAGTTTGAATATTTTTTTTCATTTGTTACTTGAAATTTTTCCTTCTACACACGCACACAAACACACACACACACGCACGCACACACACACACAAACACACACACACACACATATATATATATTTATATATATATATATATATATATATATATATATATATATATATATATATATATATATATATATATATATATATATATATAAATATATATATATAGCTATAGGATGTTATTTTTATTTATTTACAAACCTATTTTTAGAAAAAAATCTGTATATTTTTAAATATGTTATTCTTGTTTTAAAAGCAAATTTTTAAAAATTGTAAAATTGTTATTAGATATCTTAATAACTAATTTGTTTATCTTATCACTTATTTCCACTTGTTTATATCTACTTTTTTTATGTAAAAACACATGGAAAGATATTTCTTGCCTTTTAAAATTAATTTCGAATATCGTCCTTTTAAAATTAATTTTGAATATCTTTGAATACTTAAAAAATCATCATTAGATAAATTTAACTGTTTAAAAACTTATCTAAATAAATAGCTTTTAAATAAAAATTAAATGAAAGTTTTTGTAATCTTAATAACTTTTAATTGAAAAACTTGGTTGGCTCGCCGATTTCCGTCAAATATAATGTTTGTTAAAAGAACTTTAGTTGCAATATGCTACTTTAAGTTAAATAAGTTACAAAGACATATAGGGGCAAAGCGAGATTCTTTCACCGCATGAGGGCAGCAACTAAATTTAATTGGCATATTTTAAATATCTAGTAAATTAGGTATTTAAATTAAAAAAATGTATTTAAATATAAAATTATTATTATTTTTATTATTTTTTTTTTTTCAATTTACATTACAATCATTAAATATCTACATAAAGTTTGTATTTGTAAATTAAAAAAAGAATTTTGTATTTATAAATATTGGTTAATTAATAATATTATAATATTATTTAATTATTTTCTTTTACATTTTACGTATATATAACATAGATAATACATTTCATTGCAAGTTTTATTTTTGATTATTTTTGTTGTTATTTTCAATTTACTTCACCTGCTAATTTATTTTACTGAGAGTATTAATAATCTTTTATTAAAAAAACGTTATTAACTTATTTTAAAGTACAATATTTATTATTATGCAAATTTCTTTGTAACTTTACTAAACATAAATATTTTTTGAATAATAAAAATAAATTAAATAATTAATTTTTTAAACTTTAAAAAATCTTAACTCAAGATTAACTGACATCATTAAAAATTAAAATAAAAAGTTTTTTTAAACTTTTGAACAAATGATCATGTTAATGTATGGACGCTTGTTAATGACGACACGTTTTTACACATTAAAAAAATAAATCAATTTAATTCATTTTTTTGGCATGTTTCTAATTGCGCTTTTTACTTGTCTAGCGCGACACTTAAAATCTGAGACTGATTTAATTTTTTTTTTTTTTACTATGATCTTATGAACCTTTGGGAATTTGAAACCAATTGGGAATACCGTGTTATACGCGGTGCCATCAGGCGGGTTAACACCCTGCATGGCTTATGATGAATCGAGCGCGATCGCGCTCCGCTCATGAAACGCGCCCGTAAATGCTATTTTGAAACGTTTCAGGCGCGATAAACAACGCTCGTTCAGCTTATAACGAGCGTATAAAATAACGCTCGTCCAAGAGTTCGGGGCAAAACAAATAATAACTTTTTTTTTTTTATTTTCATAAAATATGAAAAAAAGATTTTTTAATAAAGATTTTATATTATCGAAGCACTAATATAATATAAAATAAAAAAAGCACTACGTCGTTCTTTTTTGCACTAACCTAATGAATGAGCAGTTTGAAGTCGTTAATAGGCACTAATTTCATTGATGGAATGTGCATGTAGAAATTCAATGCAAATACAAAAATGCACAAATAAAATAATAAAAAATTAGAAAACCATTATAAGAAAATTGAAACTGCAGAATATTTTTAATCTTGTGAAAACATCAAGTAAGATTTATTTGATTTATTGTTTGTAATATTCCATACATCGTTTAAAATAAAAATAAATAATAAGGACTCAGTAATTTTTTTAATTAGTTTTTGTTTATGGTATAAGTTTTTTATTAACTATTATTTATTTTAACTCAAATTTAAAACGATTCTGTTGTTTAGAATGTCCGCAATCAATGACATTCCAAAAGGAAACAAAGTAATGTTGTCAACATTTATTAAATGAAAAGTTCAAGAGGTAATAGGCTTTAGAACTGAAGTTACCAGCGGAACTACATATGGTGTTGAAATTTACTTCAAAGTTTGTACAAGAAATAGAGAAGCAAAATAGAGAAAATAGAAAATAAGAAATAGAGAAGAGAAGAATATAAAAAGTATGCTCAAAATTAGAAACTTTTTAGTACTAACCGCTTGATTGGTTTCTTATAAAAAAAACAACTTGTAATTAATATTAGTTAAAAAAGCTGGAAAGTTTTTTCCTTTAAAAAAACTAAATGAAATCGATGTTTATAAAATATATTATATTGAGGAAACAGTGTACTTTTGTGATGGTGATATTCTTCTGCTTCTTAGATACAAGCGTCAATATCGTCTTCGTTAAAAGTTTCAACGGATGAAGCGTATATAAGACTTGTGAACTGTGCCTATGAAATGGCCCTTCTGCCAACTATGCCGCACAAAAACTTTGCTGTTATTGTAAGTATCAATATGTTGACTGTTTTAATTATATTAGATAAAGTATTGAATAGTTAGTTCAAATAAAAATAGTTGGTTTGTTGTTTCCAACTTTGTAATTTTACTAGTCTATTGTAAATTTAACTTTAAATCGAAAAATATAATACATCATTTACGATAAATGTTTAGGTAAAGAGCTGTAAGATCAATGGTGTTAAAATGATCAAACGTATCGAAAATGGCGCTAGCGGGCGTGAATTCGTAAAATGCATTGCGATGGCTGTGCGTGAAAAATGTGCCAATATCCTTAAAGAAGCTCAATTCTTCTCGATTTTGTGCGATGCTAGCCAAGCTCGAAAAACAAATAAAGAAAAAGAGTTAGTTATGGCAAGAATTGAAAGATGTGGTTCTCCTTTTTATATGGTTCTGGATCTAGTTGATATTGATAGGTTTGGCGGAGGAGAAGCAGACTCCATTGTCAAGGGAATCAATAACATTTTTGAAACCGGGGAATTTAAACTAGACTCCAATGATTACACAAATAAATTAGTCAGTATAACATCAGATGGTGCAAGTGTAAACTTTGGAAAATATTGTGGTGTCATAGCGCAAATATTGATATATATTTTTTTATAACATAAATAGTTAAAAAAAAATCACGATCTGACAATATACAAGAGTGTTATTTCATGAGTGTGATACTAATTATAACATTTGTCGACGAAAGAATGATGTAACAAATAAAAAAAGATCTTCTTCCGCAATTTTCATGATCATGCTTGTCGACGTTATCTTGAGCGCACATAATCACGCTCGATGAAAACATATTTTAATTTTATGAGCGCGATATAACATGCTTGACGATTTTATTTGTCACAAGCCCTGACCCTATATATATATATATATATATATATATATATATATATATATATATATATATATATATATATTATATATATATATATATTATATATATATATATATATATATATATATATATATATATATATATATATATATATATATATATATATTATATATATATATATATATATATATATATATATATATATATATATATATATATATATATATATATATATATATATATATATATATATAACAACTGAGAAAAATTAGAAAAATACAGTTTTGATCACTGAGACAGTTTAGAAAATGTAAATTAGTATAGTAACTATGCTTTAAGCAGATTTTAAACAAAAAATACATTAAAATAATATTATATAATTTTCAAATAAAATTAGAAATTTTCCAGATTATTTTCAATAATTTGAGTAAATAAAAAAAAAAAAAAAAAAATCAAAGTGCTTTGCACTTCTCACATATATAAATTCAATTACATCACACATATTTGTTTCATTGCATCACATTTATAACTTAATAGTTTCACATTTAAAATATTTTATATTTTATTTATTAAATTTCATATATATTAGATTATACAATAGGAAATAGTTTCACATATCTAACTTTAAAAAATAATTGTAGACTTTATTAAACTTAAAGTTTATAAATAAAAGATCTTGATAAAAAATGTTGCTTTTTTCAAATATTTAAATTTTAAATGTTAATAATAATAATGGTAATAACTAAATGTAATTTATTAAACTTAATAGAACTTACTTTAACAGAACAATAATATAAATAGAATTTATAGCAATAAAAACAACCTTTTCCATTGTTGGTAATCTGTGAGCTCTTGACATTTTTTGCATAGCTCTATATAAAATGGACGAACTTGATTTTTTTGCCATAAAGATAACAAATCAGACTTTGTGAGAGGAACATTCTGACTTTCTTTTATTTCAAAAATAGGAATAACTAAAGCTAAAATAAATTCTACTAGTAAACACCATAAATAACCATTAACAACTTAAATTGCTACTTAACAAACAAATATTTAAATACATAAATTAACTATAAATGTTACAACAAACTTTCTATGTTCTTAACCAAATCATATATGTTAAAAAATCTCAAATAATGCACTTTATAAAAATACACA